CAGCAAAAGGCGCATCTCTAATGACAATCATCTTCTCTGTTTTTTTATTATATATTTTTGTAGGCTTTGGAGGATGAGCAACCACAAATATTCTAGGAAGAGCCTTCTTGTTAAGTTTTTCTCTTTTAACATGTGGCACATGAAAGAAACAAACACAACCAAATACTATAATGAATCTTAGTGAAGGTTTGAATCCATTCCCAGCCTCGAATGGTTTTTAATTATGTAATGATTTAGTAGGAAGCTAATTTTGGAGAAATATGGTGGTCCTAGGTGCCTCAGCACCAAAACATTTTGGAAACTCTTTTTCATGCAACATGTACCGTGACATCTCCATTATATATCTGTTTTTCCTTGCACTAACTTCATTTTTTTTGCGGAGTATATTGAGCAGAAAGCTGATGAGTTTTACCTACTTCCTCACAAAATTTGTAAAGTTCTTCAGAATTATACTCTTTTCCGTTGTCAGAATGCATGGATTGGATTCTACAACCACTGTGACTTTCAACCATCTTTTTGAACTTCAAGAAAATTCTATCCACTTCTTATTTATATTTCATAAAGAAAATCCAGAAGAATCTTGTATAATTTTCAATTAATATAACATAGTATAGGCTACCATATAGGGGTAGTGTTCTTTGAGGTCCTTCAACATCTATGGGAATCATTTGCAACCTTTGAGAAGTTCGCCATGTTTCTTTAGTAAATGACTTCCTATTCTGCATACCAAATGAAAAAGCATGACAACTTGGTATATGATCAACTAGAGTTGGTAGTCTTCTTTTCATATCTTCCTTCTTGAGCAATAATAGTGCTTGTAGATGACAATGACAAATCTGTTGTGCCAGGTTTCTGTTACACTTACCTTCATGGAATAAGCTAGTTGCTCTTTCTCTTGGATCAAACGAAAAACTCCTTCCTCTCGTCTTCACCCTTAACATTACATTTCCAGTAGTGTCACTGATTTGAGGGGGATGATCTTCAAAGAAAACCCTAAATCCTTTTTCTATCAGATGTCCTACACTTAGAAAATCCATATCAATTTAGGAACATAAAGAACCTCTAAGATTTTCTTTGTGTCGGTGCTCGTATTAATAGCATGGTTCCAATTCCTTTGACATGAAGTTGATCTCCATTTCCTATCCGAATCTTGGAAATTTAAGTGGGCTTAAGCTCCTTGAATAAATTCTAATCATGAGTCGAGTGGTTAGTGCAACTGATATGAGGCCAAAAATATATATTTTTAATCATTATTTGCCTCACTTCTATTATTTATATTTTTCCCTTTTTAGCATGAATTTTATGAATTGTTCTAAATAGTGTATTTTATTTGTATTAGTAAATTGATGTAACGTTTAAGAAGTTTGGAGTTACATGAATTAAATATGGAAGATCATTGAAGGAAATCAAGCAGACAACTTAATGAAATAAATTCTATCTAATAATATATAAATAAAAGTTGCACCAAATAGCGACATTGAACAACTTTGCTTCCACATTGCACCTATTGCATACGCAACATATTTGTGAGGCGGTTTGGTAGCATACGCAAACAACATTTCCACCTCCGCTTCTTTTTGGATTCATGATTTTCTTTGGAATCAATTATTTTATTTAGTTTTTATATATCTATAAATAGTCCATAGAACAATTAAAGAGGAGGGAGATCAATCATAGGGCATCAAGTAGAAAATCGTCAATACTTTTTAAGGTTGTTTTCAGGGGCTGTAGCTGCGGATTATTTGTTGATTATGTAAGACCTTTTTAATTAATTCTTGATTTTCATTATAAGTTACTTCTATATTCGTGTTTTAGTATTTTGTTCTTGATCACCAAGAGATGAATCTATTGTCTAATCTTAAAATTGAGAGAGGAGGGGTTAGATAGACTAGATAATATAGAGAGCTCGATCCATCAACTGGACTGAGGTGATTTTTTTAGGAGTGACGCCCAGATGAATAACTTGCTTCTTACAAAATAGGATGAAATATAAATTCTCCTCAGTTAGTCTATATATCACCGCTCAATGATGTAGTTAGATACATGAGATTATTGTCTGTTGCAGCCCTAGACTTTACAATCATTGTGAGTAATTTTATTATTTTATTCTTGCATTCTTTTCTTTTGAAACTCTTATCTAAATAATTAGACCAGTATAATTTAGTTGCAATAGTTAATTGACTAGTCATTTGGGTTCGATAATCTGGTTCTTTTAAGAGTCACAAAATTACTTGCGTGACCACGTACACTTGCGTGTATATTGGGGAGCAACAGGTTTTTGGAGCCGCTATCGGGGACTCAGAGATCAACTATTATTATAGGTTATACATTTTCTTTTTATTTATGTATTTATTTATTTGTTTGTTTTTTTTAAAAAAATAGTAATGATTTGCTTTAAATAATTTAGACCTCTTATTGATCTGGATGATTGAGATAAATCATGATTTGGTGATGAATGTCCTTTATGTTAGATATGTGGTCGTCAATGTATTTATTGGAGTAGTTGCCCTAAATCTTATTCCTTTCCCCCGAGACCTCTCTTTTGATTCTTCTATTATTTGTGATATTGGTATGGGCGATGAAGTGGAGAACGCCAAACAAGAGGCGCACAATCTGAATTCACTTATGGAATGTAAAAATATGTTGGGCAAGGCTAATTCAAAAATCAGTAAGCAATTAGTTGAATGAACGAAGGCACACAAATAAATCATGAAACATCTAGATGATCTTGATCGAAATCAATTAGAAATTACAGTTTTAGCTAAATTAGATGAGATTCAAGTCCAACAAGGATAAAGTTATGAAGAAATAGAGACAGTCATTCAGTCTTGGCTACAAGAACAAACTCAACTTCTTATGTTTTACGAGTCTATCTATGATGGTCTGACATACATGAAAACCCAACTTATTGAAAGAAGAGTTGAGCTCACTGAAGATATAGATCAATTTTGTTCAGGTATTCATGGCTTAGATGCTCACTTGAACAAAAATATTTAGGCGTCTGATGCTCAATAACCGATTTTCGTGGATGATGACCAACTAGTGGAGCACACGAGGAATTCCCGCCATTCAATTATATTTTAGTCCTTAATATCTATATTGAGAAAGATTATAAAAAGGAGGATGTTGTAAATAATGTTGCTTTGGATTTGAGGAAATTTGAATCTCATTCGAAATATTTTTTTATAAAATCTGAACTAATGGATGAGTGTAAAAATTAGGTACAAGGCCCCTACATACTAAAGGTTGTTAGTCCACATAGACAAAATGACATTCCTCACCTAAGGGTCAAGAAGTGAAAGATGAGACATATATTACTTGGTTCTTTTATCTTTATACCACCACCCTTTGAAATGAGTAGAAAAGTTGATGCAAAGTTAGGGTTACATTTCATCAGTTCAAAGTTGAAAGAAAGGTGGTGAACTTTTTTGTATCGTGTCATGACGTTAAATTAAGCCTTATTGGGAGGCAACCCTATTTATAGTATAGCTTCTTTTTTGAGTGACATTTTTTGTGTTGTTTTTATAGGTTTTGGACAAGTCTGAGTATCCAAAAATTGGAGTTAAGGACCAATTTAGCTTAAGTATGGGGTAACAACCCTTGATGAAATTAAGAGAACAGGCTACTAGCTACGCCTAAGGGCCTCGGGGAGTTTTCTAACCCTTGCTTTAAATTTTATTTTTTACTTTGGGGACATAGCATCTTTTTATGTGTGGTTGGAAGAATAAATTCCTAATTTTATTATTTTATTGAGTCTTTTATTTCTTTAGGATGGGTTCCTTGAATTTTTGTTTTCAGTTATTTTCCGGGGGATAGTTCATTTGAACCAAGTGCCTTTTATTATTTTAGGAATAAGTTTTCTTTTATTATATTTAATTTTATTTTTTGAGAGAAAAGAAAATATCCTTTTAAGTGGTGTAATACTTTCTATTTAAGCCTAATTTTGTAGTAGTCTTTTCTTGTGAATACTTGATTGTTAAGAAATTGCATACTCTTTGACACCTAAGCTCAAGGTTGTGACTTTGCATATAACATATTTTATTTTGTAGTTTGTTATGTTCTTGTATCTCTTAGAAGTGGAATTCATTCATCTTGACTGATATACTTGTGCCACGTGTGGTGAGATTTTATTTAGTCCATTTTTTGCATCTTAGTTTAGAACTTTCCATGCATGGTTATTGAAGGACATAAAAAATGTTTCGTTGCTTAGGAGATGATAATAGGCTTTTTTTGATTTTTCTAGTAAATTTTAGACTTTTCACATATTATCTCACTAGTTAGCCTTTTCGAGCATGTAGCTTTTGTTGGTAGCGATATTTTTCCGTTGACTATATTGTCGAATCCTTAGTTTTTGCACCTTGCTTTGTTTAGGAGTATAACATAGACTTATTCTAATTGTTAATTCTGAAGAAAAATAGATGGTTGAGTTAAAAGGTAATCAATAATAGCTACAAAGTGCTTAAAAATCCCTCTTTGAAAGAATGTGATGTGGAAAATAAGAGATGAGAAAAAGATGTTACTTTGATGATGACCTTGGTCCTTACAAGGACATCTTGCACCTTAATTCATGTAAAATATATATGTTGAGGGTGACTATTATGAAGGATTTTTTATTTTAAAAAAAAAATATTATTAAAACATTCTTGAGATGATGAGAATTACTTGTCAAGTAATGTCTACACCATTTTAGGCTTATAGCCACACTAAATCTGAGCAACGCTTGAAAAGTGTTGCCTAAAATATTTTTGGGAACACTTTTAAATTGTAGCCTAAATTTTTATGTTCTGGAAACAATAATATTGGCAACACTTGTAAAGTGGACCCTTTAATGGTATAAGCTACACTTTTTAAGTGCTGTCATAGTATGAAATTAATGGCAACAATTATTTATATATATGTTCACACATAAAAAGGGTCCTATGTTTATAATTGTTAAAATAACATTGTAGAAGTGTAGCCTAAAAAATTTCACAAAAATATTATATTTCCTTCATCATTTCTACTCTCCCTCCCATTTTTATTGGCCAAAAAAATAATTGTTAAAATATTAGGAAAAACAAATTGGGGCTTAGAGAGGAAGCTGAGCTGAAAATATATGCTCAAGAACATATGCTCCAGAACATAGCTGAAAAATCCACACGTTCTCTTCTCCAGAACTTCAAATCGACTGAAACAGAGCTAAAAATCGAAGAGAGGAAGCTGAAAATTGGAGGAGCTGAAGAGAGGAACTGAAGACTGAAGGTGAGATGAAAATTAGAGAAGCTAAACTGATTTATTCAAAATAGGAGGAGCTTAAATTAGAGGAGCTGAAAATCGGAGGATCTGAACTGAGCAGATGTTGACCAACTGACTCTATGCTCCAAGCTTTGTTAGTGTAAGACGTTCTTCTCCCCAAATACGAAAATATGATTTCCTTTACAATTTTTCCTTCAAAATTGTTTACAGATTCCTTGATGAAGATCGAAGAGCCGAAGAAAGTGATTCTCGTCACATATTTTTTGTTGATGAGTTGCTCTTTTCATCATAGATTCTTTGTTAACGAGTTGTTCCGTTAGATTTCACAGATGAACAAAATGCTTCATACATGATCACGCCTCACATCTTGGGTTGTTGCAACAGTGTTTATAACGTATGAAATTTTATCTCTAAGAGTCTTATTTATAGCTTTTAGGTTTTGATATTCTTGTGTATCTTTGAATGTCTAAATTTTAATTTAGGGTTTTGATATTGTTGTGTTGTTGGTACGAATTGACCTACCTCCTAAGGTTAGTCAACTCAACCTATACAATGAGTTTGTAATCAAAGACTAAGCACATAGAGAAATTACATCAATTAGGGAGATTCTACCTTTACAAGAAAAAATTTAAAGAAGCTAAACCTATTCAAACAACTATACCTATAAATATGATGACTCCTTCAGTCTTTCTATAGCATAGGAATAATATAAGCATCTGAAATGCTCTGTTATTTATGACATTATAAACTTGTTGGTGGGATGCTTATTTTAGTACATATCCTAAAAATGTGAGTTGTACTCCTACATCCCAAGTCTGCTTAATGTGGTCATTTTCAATGCATGACTGTGATACATGTGTGTAGCTTTATTTACCAATTCTCTTCTTGATTGCATATGACAACAATCTATGTTCCCAGATTATCAACAACTTTAATATCCCTGCTAACCAGAGCAACTAGCTACTGCCTGCAATCACATATTTGCATATTGTTGCACACGACAATGATTGTCTTTATTGGTTGCTGAATGTATGTTCCCTCATCTACTTAGCTGCATAGAGTGCTGACTGTTAGAGTTTAGAATCTTATGACATGATTATCTTCAATCTGAAATTAGTTAACACAAACCAAGCTAAACAAAACTAGTTAAGTTCATAATGACAAGGAATTGTATACAAATAAAGGAGGAATATTAATCTTTCTGAAATGATCATAGTGCACAACTAACTAAACTTTATGTTCCTAATAAACAACTTTAATAATATTTAAGCTGAAATACAAGAAAAACAGAAAGCCAAGAAGTTGTATTTAACATAGGGGAAATCAAGGAGGAACATTATTCCTTCTTAACTTTTTCCTTCTGAAACTTCGCATTCCCAACTTCTCCAAATTATAACTTCCTCTCGTTGTTTTTGGTAATTGAGTGGGAGTGTAAAAATGATGAATAATATCATGCTTGTGACTTTGCTTTGACAGAACATCTGATGTACCACTGGCCTCTCTATATTTAAGAACATGTTGGAAACATTCACATCGCTTAGTTAAACCTTGAAGTTCCAGAACATATCTACAAATCCTCCAAGGAGGATCAGAAATCTTTAAAAACCATTTAGTTAGAAATGCAGGATGTAATTCTAAAATAATATTTTTATATCCACGTTGAATGCACCAGTTAAGCCCATAACTCACATCTTGTATTTTTTGTTAGTCCCTTCACCTAAAGGTATAGCAAAGGCATAAATGATATTGTAGTGACATTACTATTCTAAGTTTGTGGTGTCCTAAGAACTCATATTTTTGTCCCCATTGATAGAAGGAAAGAATCTCACTAATATATTTTGTTAAATTTCCTTAATGAGAGATTTTAGTTGCTAATGACACTATTATATCAATGTGGTAAAGAAAAGGTTGTGTAAATAATGTTTACAGATCTCTTGGAAACTTGAATTTGAGTTTAACTAGCTAAGCCTAATTTGTCTAAAAAAGTGAACTAAAAATCATCTTTTAATACAATGCATATTCTGCTATCTCCTGTTGTTCTGTTCCTCTTTAATCTGAATTTGTCTTGGATACATAAAACTCACACTTCTGCTCCTTTGCATGTTTTTACTCTTCCAGCCAAGGACTTATTTAAAAAATGATAAATTTAGGGCTGTTTCTTTAGCATTTCTCAAAGAGTTGTTCTCGGATAAGTGAAAGCTCTTTCTTATTTAACAAACTCTTGCTGAAAAATTAAAAACATCATTAAGTACCTTTACTCTTAGACTACTGTTGAGTCTACTTGGTCTAGCATATATGCTTGTGGTACGTATTATGATCCTTTGTCTCATAGTCTTTCAACCCCTCTGTGAGATTCCTTGCTTTTTTGTAGCTTCTTGTACTTCCTCATGATTGTCCTGTTGAACAGTGAATTCAAAAGCTCTAATTAGATGGTTCACGCTATGTTACTTACCTAGTAATTGTTTTTTCCTTGGTAGTATCATCAACATTCAAAAACATCTGTGGAGGTTCAAGGTTTGATTTGGCATTGAAAAAGTTTCATGATTAGGTAAGAAACTTTTATCATCTCATAACACATGATTCTGGTAGATTACTCATGACTTCTAAAACATATGTGTCAAGTAGTTAATGATTTAATGATTCTTGATAAAATACTAAATATTTAATATTTTGATATTCTAGGAAGTCAAATATCCCATCCAAGGATTGGATGAATTTAGCAAGGTATAGCAAAGAGTATATTAATGGTGTTAAATCCTTCCTAGATTTTGCTTACTCTTATGGAGATCCAATAGGATAGGAAATTCAGTGTCCATGTGCAAAATATGTAAGAGAGGAATGTAGTCTATGATCATCTAAAATAGTAAAATCTATTCTTTTACATATTTACACCATATACATTCTTTTCTTTTTATTTTATCGATTTAAACATCTCATTTTATTTAATTACAGTCTATAGCTGAAATAAGTTCGAAAAATAGGAAAAAACAACAGTGGAGGAATCGAATGGGACCAATTAATTTTGCAAGAGTACGCATGTAATTGGTAATACTTATAGACATATGAATTTAATCTTTACATACTTATTATAAAAGGCAAATATTTTTTAAATTTCATGTATTTTTGATATAATTTGTAGCGTGCAACAAAAGAAAACAATGAAGAACCATCACAGCCTAAAATGTTTATTGCAACTTGTACAAAGACGTGAAAAGAAATTTAGGCCGATACCCAAGTTGCAATAGTAAGTTTATTAAAGAGGATTATTGGTAAATTTAATTCACACATATATCTTATTTATTGTGGAGAGTGTAAATAGTTCTTACTGTTAACTATGGATGTTAATTTTATTCAATAGACTGAACTTCAAAATTGTCAAAATTTTGGGGAAACGGCGGATGATGCCTTTAGGGCAGTGTTTTGAAAGGAACAACCTGGCATACATAGGTGTTATGGCAGATCAGTGACAACAAGTTCTCTATAAAAAGATGAAGAAAATAACAAGCTAAAACAAAAGCATATTAATGAAATCAGTCCTCTAAAGGAAGAAATGAATGAAAACATGAATGCAATGAGAGTAGAAATGTGACATCTTTTTGTCCAGTTACTGCAAAAAAAACCCTGGATTGGATGTTCAAGATTTACAAGGGGTGGTTGGATCTAATATTGTTTCACCTGTTGTTTATGCAAGTAGCGCAGAAGCTGTAGGAGGCAAAAATATTCCACATTCTTCAGGGTCAACTGAATTTTCCTCAATTTTATCTAGTTGTTCTTGTTGGCTGTTAGTTTTATCTTGCACAACAAGATCATTATAGTTATTATGAGTAGAAATAGTAGATTTGGTTGCTGATTTGTATGTGCAGTTGTGGATCCATCCGGCAGTCCATGATTGCTAGTGATATTTTAGATATTTTTAGCAAACTGCCATGTCATAAAATTTCTATCCATTGTGTCTTTATATGGTTTATGGCTTCAGGAACACTTAAATGTTGTTGACCCAAACTATGAGCTATTTGTGAAGTATATACATAGCCATAACCAATCCAATGAACTTTCACGGATTTCCAATTCTTACACTATCCACACCCATAAGCAATCACACAACTCTTATTAAATTCCTACCTATCTAATTATAACTAAATAACCCTTTATTTCATTCACTTTCATACACACATGTTTGAAATAAAGAAAGATATAGAGCATTATAACTTTGCCAAAAAATTTATGACATTGACTTTGTTTTCCATATTGTTAAGTAGTGTTAATATATAGAGGTGGCTCGGGCTCAGGGAATATACAATTTGTCGGGTGAAGGATTAATGTCATGCAGACCATCAATCATGCCACCTTATCCGACAACGCCTACAGCTCAGTGCTGTAACGCGCTGTCTCATGCAGACATGGCCTGCCTTGCTCTTATTAGGACTGTTACTATTTGCAGGTTTACCTGCTGGCTTTACACTAGGATCATTGGGTTAAGCGTGCTAAAGTTTATTGATTTTCTATTTCCCTGTTTGGTTACTGTTATTTTGATCCATAGAATAAAACATCAAATATGTGTAACAACCTCACAAAATTATATTTCTTCCATTCTATATTAGGTATCACAAAGGGGAGAATCTTTGTTGTCAAGTTGTCTTTTGACTTTTCTCCTGATACCTAAATAGAAAGTGCAGACATCTTGTCTGCCAAGATTCTTATTTTGTGTCATGTGATATAAGTTGTGACTCTAGATTTCATTTAGCATATAAACTTCTCAAACCTTGAATTGAAATTCAACTTGGCATTCTATATCGAGGACTAGAACTAAAACATCTTCTTCCAATTTATGTTCTCTTTTGTCTTCTGTATCCTAGAGTAAGTTCATGAATAATAAAAGTATCATGAACTGCAAGCCTGAGTAAGTTCATGAATAATAGAAGTATCATGAACTGCACGCCTCAAATAATACAAGTGTTGGTCAAATATGAATTGCAGGCCTCAAAACATCAACTACAGGCCTCAAAACATTTTACATACTTGGAATCTCGAATTTGGAAATCAAGAAATCTTAAATCTGCATATCTCAAAATTTGGAATCTAGAAATCTGAAAATCTAAAATCTGGAAATGTTGAATTTGGAAATCAATTTGGAAGTTTTGAAATGAAGATGAATATTGAGGATGTATATTTTTTGTTTTATTAAGGTTCCATGCTTATTTTTAACATCTAGGATTCATATTATAGATAAACATCTACTTTTGGTGTCTTTTTCAAATCAACTCAATTGGCAGTTTGCTCATCTTTAATATCTACTTTTGTTGCAATCTAATTTGTCATAAATTCTAAAGGTGTAGGGAAACGGTGGTGATTAAATTTGAAGGCTCACTACAAGTAAATTTGATCTCATTGAAGTGGATTATGAAGCGTTTATGAACTATTGTAATATTACTTTTTGAACAATTGTGTACACGTATTTTGAATATTGTTGTATAAGTATGTGTAAGTACATAAGACGTACAATGTTTTGAGTTTTATTGAAAATCTATGTATTTGAATTACTTATGAGCCAATTTAATGTTTGAGATTATTTATTGTAAAATAATATTGGTAGTTTTTAATTAGAAATTGTGGCACATATTTTATGGCCAAAATGATATGACCACACTTCAAAGTGTAGCCTTAGGACTGTATATTGTGGTAATCACATGAACAAGGAATATACTTCAAAGTGTTGTCATACATGAGATAGAAAAGGCAACACTTTAAAATTGTTGTCATACATTAGATAGAAAAGGCCACACTTACGAATTGTTGCCAATAAGAAAGCTAAGGCAACACTTAAAAGTGTAGTTGTATGAGATATAAATGTTTCTATTGAGGTACATAAAAGTGTGGCCATTTTACCTTTTAGTCTATGCTTAAAAGCGTAACTGATAAGGAACACCTAAAAACGGTTGCCTGAAATCTAAGTAACGCTTCATTTGGCACCCCTGTTAAAGTGTTGCCTAAAGTCCAAAAGTGTAGCCTCTTATCTAAGGCCACACTTTTTGCTAGTTTAGGCTACACTTTGCTAGGGTGGTCGTAGACCTAAAATGGTGTAGTGTTAATTGTTGAATAAAAGTCTGAAAATAAAGAGAAGAAATAATGGGTGATTAAGTCTAAAATTGCAAAGTGCTTAAGCAAGTGCAAGTCACTATTATATAGTTTTCCTACCCGTCCCTCACCTAAATTATAGCCCGTTAAAGTCCTATTTGATTATATTCAATCATGCTTAATTAGTGAAGATGTACATAACAGACAAGCATATGGCCCTTTGTCCATTAGTAGAATTTTATTTGTGAGTGTTGTTAAATTCAATCGTTTTAATTGAGTGTATGAACTTTTTATTATTGTTAGGGGACTTGTTTTATTATGATTAAGTGATTTTATTCACTTTATTGGACTAGAGTAGGTGAAGTAAGCTCAATTTGATGAGTTCAAAGTCTTTCCTTGAGGTTAGGAGGTTTGAGATTTGTTTATTTGGATCTCTTGCATAATGATTGAAAATAGTACTTGATGTTTTGAAATTGGTATATTGTCTAATTATTCGTATTTACCAAATGGGTGACATTCCTAGTATGTGTTAATCTCAAACTTACTTCTAAAACAAGAAGTAAAGCAGTTGTATCAAGTAAAGAACCCAACTAATGAGGTTGGGATCGTTCCCACGAGGAAAATAATTCAGACTTAACTTCAATCTATTGTTACTATTATTTAGTCAATTATTTCCTTAGAAAACAAAGACAATAAAAGGAGGGTTTTTATTTCTAAATGAATGAAAATAACTAGCTAAATTAATGTAGACAACTAACAGATTAAAATGTTGGAGTTTAGTCGATTAATAAAAGTAACTAAGGTTTAAGTGTTCCCCACAGGTTCCTAACTTGATAAATCTAACTATAACAATTCTTTCCTTGTATATTTCATGCAAAGTTATAAGTTATGTATTTCTAAATCCGTGGTCCGGCATTTAGAAAGTTTCTCTCAGCACCTTTGTCCGGCTACGTATGTTGCTATACTAACCCTTAACTTTACCTCATATTAAGCATTGTATTCGATATTTTACTAATTTATTACCTCGTACCAATCAATACTAGTCTATTAGATAGTATACACTAAATCTATGTTGATAATTCTTTTCCTATTATCTACCTCCTTGGTCCGGAAAGTAGCATTAAGTCGAGTTCTAACGTTGGCCATCTGTTAAAAGGATTTTAAGCGAAAGAATTATCAGCACATGCAAGACACTATTCTAGAATTGTTATTTTAGTTAGATTTTACATCATTATTTATCCGTGGTTCCCACAACCCTAATTATTGAGTTTAGTTACCCATATTAACAATCACAATATTCATTTATGTAATATAAAAAATCATGCACTTACTTCAATGAGAAAGAATAAAATCCAGAAATTTACTTGATTAATCGACAAAATCACAACCAATCAACTCCAGAGAAAAGTGTAACAATCAAAAGTCTAATATCCAAAAAAGTCTACTAACAAAGAATCTAACATAAAAGTGTCTAATAACCAAGAGTCTAACATAAGATAGTCTAACCATATGAGAGTCTAACTCTATAAGAGTTTAACACCAAAAATGAGCTTTTTCGAACTATTTATAAAAAATAAAAACCTAATAAAAGAAAGACTCTATTTGCTGAAAATCTTTCAAAATGTGGCTCGGTCAACGGACCTCGTGACGGGCCGACGTGGTCGTCGACGGGCCGTCATAACCTCCGTCATCCTATACTTCACAGATCCATCTACTGCTTTCTTCATTACAGTAGACAAAAAGGTATGACAGACCGTTTCAAGCACGATGGTCCGTCGAGGGTCTCCGTTCCATACCACTTAAACTTCTTGGAATTTGGGTACTGGGACTACTTCTCTGATCATCATGACGAACCAGCAAGACGGACCCCCGTGGCTATGATGGTCCGTCATGAACTTCGTAATCCCATACTAAGGTCAGACTTCCCAATCTTCCTTCAATAGCTTCACTACGATGCCACCTACAGGCCGTCACAGGCTCGAGGGACCATCACATGCCCCGTAGGTTGTAACATTTCTGCATTTCTTGCTGAAAAACTTCCGCGTTCATCTTTAGACAGATTTCCTGCAAATAAAGAGAAACTTGCATAAAAATCAATACAAAAATGCTTTTGGACACACTCTAAACATAAGGAAAAAGCATTACTAATACCGTCAAACCACGGTATATCAACACCCTCAACTTAAATTTGTTTTTTTATCCTCAAGCGATGCACTATGACCTACTTCAAAATCTTTGTACAATAGTATCCATATTTTAGGTTTCACAATCATTTGTCTATTAATCCCAATCAGTTTCATCATGTTTATGCATGTTATCAGTATAAGGCTTGAATTATGTGGAATCAGACCAACACACAGAATCACCACGCACTGACACCTACCCACTTCAAGTTCTCACCGAGGTGCCAATATTTCTGGTATTGCAACTAGTGTCCTCACTTCAAAAAAACATCCTCATTTTTCGCACAATCATTTTAGTTTTAGTATAAGGATTACTTTTCAACACTCACTCTCAAAAAAATCCACAACTCATTCATATATATTGCCATAAGCTTGCCCATATTTTAACTGCTTTAAGTTCGCTATACAACTTTTTAGGATCACGATAGGACTTTGTTAGCTTGTAACATTGGCTCAGGGTCAATTAGCATATCTTTAGGTATACTTTAGTGACTTTTTGCCCTCCTTGACATATCAGCTAAATATACCACTTTTCATCATTTTATTTTGCCCAATTTCTCATATTCTTTCACCTTGCTATTTTCCCTTCTTTCATCATTTGTGTAACTAACTCTCTTTTTTTCTTGCTTGTATCTATTGTATTTTTTTATTTCACTTTTCTTTCAACTGGTTCTTGAGTCACTTTACTTTTGTTCTTTCTCTTTCTTTGTTCTTTCAACTCCACTTTCTACAACATTAGTCATAATAGCCACCCTCAACTCATGGCTTTGCCATGAGTCAAAGTACACAATACCCAAAGTTGGGTTAGGGACATGAAAAGTTTTTTTACTGCATTAGCCACTCTAAACTTATGCTTTTGGCATAAGCTGAGGTGCACAGGTCCAAGGAGGGACCATGGCCAACACATTATTTCCAGAAAAGATCAGTTGGGGTGAAAAAGAAAGGTCTATTTTAAGCTAAAATTATTTGGATTAAAGAGGGATTAATTTCATTCGTTTTTAGGCTAAAAATTGGATATTTTAACAAGGGCCTATGATCCTTTCCTAATTGTCTATTAAAACTTACTTTTAGCAGGACTAAGCAGGCTAGTTCTAGCTCAGTACAAATAGTGGACTATTTAAATAGTCCTCACACAGACTTGACATCTCATTACTCTACCAGATAATCAGAAACCTAGTTCGAATTTTAGACTTAGGGTCATGCAGTGGTGTATCTCGATGTCATGCTTAGAGCCACACATTTATCAATTACATTGCCTAGTCATGCATCATTTTCATTACATCAGGATATCATTTTAGCCATTATGCTTCAGAGTTAAACTTTGTATAAGATATAGACTTGCTGGTTCAACAATAAAAATAATCAGTCTCTTAGGGAAAAAGAACACAGGCAAGAAAACCCCAAAAGAGGATAGTGATCTGGGCTACTCAGACTTCACGCTAGCAATCACTTTCCATTTACTCCACCCCTAACAAAAAGACATGTAATTGTCCCCAATGCATAAAAAAATTGAAATACGAGAGTGGTAGGTGAAGCAAACCTGGGGCGCAAAGCGCCGATGATCAGCAAGTTGGTGGGTCCGGTTCCCCGGAACCCACTACCCCTGTAGTCTGGTGACCCTCATTATTGTCCTCATCAGCAATAACACTATCAACAGTGCCTCCTCAGCAGCAAGTGAGGCTTTCCACGTAGCCTCCATCTCACGGTGCTCCTTCTTCCGTGCTCTAGCCTCATCCTCCTCTCGACCTTTGCACCTATTGGCATGCTCTCGATGGGGAGGTGGTGGAATCTCAGAGGTGGCAAAAAAGGCCGCCATCACTATGTCCTCAGCACGATCTGCAGAAGGGGCCTCAAACTCAGGCACCCTTGCCTCTAGGATCATATCAATGTTCGCTCTCATACTCTCGACCACAGCCTGAAGGGTCGACCCGTCCACCTGAGGGGCTGGCCGGGCTAGCACCCGAAACTCAAAAGCGTCCAAGCATTGATGAACCAGCGATCTTCTACTCTGTGTGCTGGACCATTTTACGCTCCAAGCGCTCCTATGCCTCAGAAATAGACCTCTGCATCCAAGGCTTGATATGATGCAGAAGTGTAGCCATCTGTGCATCTAATTTATGGACCCTGGCAAGCAGGTCCAGAGCGGGGAAAGGGGCTGAGCGAGAGGAACTCGGGGCACTACTACTACCCAGGATAGACTCGACCGGGGTAGTGTCAGTGGTTTCAAAAGCAACCTGTGTAGCAGTGCGAGCATTTTCTACCGTGTCAGCCAGATTTTCACCAAGTGGAGGCAACTTTGGACGGGGCCCTCTGCGTGGATCCAACTCATTGTCTTCATCCTTGATGAGGCCGATATCAACAATACCAAGCGGAGTCTAGAGCTAATTTATGTGCCAGATGGTCACACCTGCAGACCAGCATAAGGAAAATACCATGCGCGGAAAAGGGTAAGTAGTTGTGACTTTGAAATCCCTCTC